AATAGAATTACTTTTACAGCAGACGATTATCATACTTTGTAAATAGTTATTTTACACACAAATGGTGTTTATTGTATTTTGTTTTTCCATATAATAATTGTACATATATGTTAGCGGTATTTCTCTATACTCCCCACCATACATTCTTGAAGTCCATACACATGCGTGTCAGGATGGACGAGCGGGAGAAGACAGACCAGCGCAGTGAGCATTACGCGAATAGACAGTGGCAATACCACAGCAACATTGTAATTGAGAATACTTGATCGTGAATTAAACCATTGAAAAACCAGTTTAGACCTTTTTATTAGGGATGATACATCCCTTATGTTTATATATATATATTTTTTCATTTGTTCCTGCAGCAATAAACCACTATACAGTTTATAACTTGTTTCTGTTGTCCTCTCACCTTACTTAGCAATCCTGTAACTTGGGTAGTTACGAAACCCATTTAAGTTCATTTAGATCGTAACACTGATAACAAAATGTTCTTCTATCCGTCATCAAAAATCCTAACACAGGCATAAGACTTGTGGCAAAACAGTTAGATTTAAGCCAAACAAGTGTTAGAAAAATTCTTAAAAATTATTTTCATCGTCCATTTAAAATTCTGACGCACCAAAATTTGTATCAAACAGATTTTGAACGCAGGTTAGAATTGAACAATGTTTCGGTCAAATACTATTTACTGATGAATCTACCTTCTATAATAACGGATTTCTGAATAGATATAATTTTCATTATTACAGCACTAAAAATAAACATGAATTTCGAACTGTATATCGATAAAACCGATGGTGTTTAAATATTTATGGTGAAATGATGGTGGAATGATGGTGGAATAATGGTGGCGCCCTACTTTTTTGATATAAATTTAAATGGAAGAAAATTTTTAAAATCTTAGAAGAAAGATTTCTGGACCCTTCTAGAGGTTATTCCTTTTGATATTAGACGAAAAATGTGGATGCAGCTAGATGGTGCATCAGCCCATTTTTCGCATAATATCAGGACACATTTAAACCAAAAATTTCCTGAAAAAAGGATAAGAAGAGGCCCTACTAATTGACCCTCTAGATCACTCTATTTCACTCCTCAAGATTTCTCTTATGGGAATATGTTAAAAATGTAGTTTATCAACCATTAATTTAGAGATTTTAAGTAAGTAATGTAAAAAAAAATTGAAAACCGAATCAGAATGGACATCATTTTGAACATTTATTGTAAATTTCAAATTTATTGACAAATTTTGGAATAAATATGTTTATTTAATGACTGTTAAAATTAGATGTTTGAAATTTACAGATTCATTGAAACTATTGTTAATAGGTTTAAAAATAGTAGATATCGGTATAGGGAACCTTATAGAACTTTTAAAGTAAATAAAATTTCCTTCCTATTGGTACCATAAAATACAGGGTGTTCCATTTAATTTAACGCAGTAATTAAATAAAACATTAAAACATTTTACTACTTCAAATTGCAAACACCCCGTATATTTTTGAATATTTTAATGATTCTAATAATAGTTACATTTTGTAAGGAACTGCCAAAAATTCGTTAATTAATTATTTTGTAATAAGGAGTAATTTCAAAAATGTAAAACAAATCGGAAACTATTAAAGATAGGTATATGAAATCTTATTAAACTAAGATTATTTTCAAGTTTAACTTAAGATTAAATGAAAATATAGGGTGTCCCATTTAAAAATATATAACTATATTGGTATTCTAATTTGGGACACCCTGAATACATGAAACTAATTTTAATTTATAGCTGCCGTTGAGTTGTATATTTGTGATAAAGAAATTGTTAATATTGTTTGTAGTTTAGCCACCAGGCTCCGTTCTGTTGAACGTGGCGCACCCTGTATAAATTTTTAATCATTTCAGCCTTTCCTTGATAAAAGCTATGGTAGATGTTCTCAAATAATGTTTTATTAATCAAAGATCAATGAGTGACATATTTGGAAGTTAACTTCTTCATTAGACTTGACAAATTTCTATCTGATTACCAAGAGCTATATTAAATTTAAAAAAAAAAAAACTCATTCAAAAGACACTACCGAGATCCCATCAAAAATATAGACAAACTTAAAAAATAAAAATATTAATAACATTCTAAATATGGCAATTAGTGTTTCTTACATGCCAAGTCAAGTAAGTTCACAAAATATTTGGATAATGCAATATTGGTAAGTATTGTTATTGTATTTTCGTAGAGGCACTTTAAAAACTCATTACTATAAACTAATGACTAAATAATATGAATACATATTCTAAATGAAAGTTAATTTGGCAAATTAAAAAAAAAACAGTCTTGAGTTATAGGTCATATTATAAATGGAACTTTGATGAAGGAATTAGAATTTTCTACTATCTGTTTAGAAACTTGACCAAATACTTTTTATTTAAAAAAGAAACATAGTTTTCTCTCGACCATATACCTTCAATTCCCATTTCCATTAAAAAATTTAAAATAAAATATAGAATTTTAGTTCATTGTGCTACTTTTGTAGAAATACTATTAAAATACGTATTATAAAATAAGAGTTTATTATAAAAGAGAAAAGAATTATAAAATATGCCTAAACGGTCCAGAATAGTGCCTTTAATCATAAAGTGTCCAGTTAAAACACCATAACTTTTAATAGACATTAAAAGTTTAATACAATATGTACTTCAAAAGTTTCTTCAGCAGGTAGTAGAAAAGTCATGTGTTTTACAGAAAAAACGTTAAATTTTTCCCACTGATACAAATAACTATTAAAAATGTTAACATCACATAAAGTGTAGCTTTAGGAAGTTACCATAGAGTTATGGTTTTATTATAGACACGACACCCTGTATAACATTCTAGTTTTTGTGTTCGACATATTGACTAGAACTATAAGTGATTTATGACTATACACAATACTGGCAAAAATATACAATTGTTTATATATGTATAATTAAGATTTGTACAACATTACAATACATAACTTAAAAGAATATAATTAATACAATACATTAAACTCATTTTAATAATATACCTAGTGATGTTAAATAAAAAACATTGAAAATATAATAAAGAATATAAATATCTGATATTTTTAAAGTATTCAGAAAAAATAGTGTTTTAGACAGATATTCTATTTAGAGATAAAAAAGTATTATAATTATTTAACATTTTGTCACCTGGTATAATATAATGTCATGCACATATCCATGCTATTAAAACAAGCATTTCAAGCAGTTTAAACCGCATGCATACTTTAAAAAAAATCTTGCAGAATTATTGGGGTAAAAATATAATAAAATATATTTATATTTCAAATAATGTCACTAAAACATTAACCAAAAGTGTTTTTGAACAATATTTGTGCACTTTCTTGGTGATTATGACTCATTAAGAATTTCTTGAATTTTGTAGACACTAAAGAAGAAAAGTTGTAATAAAATTATTTACCAAGTTTAGTACTTTTTTAATAGCTGTATTTTTATTTTTTTCTGACTTGTTAACAAAAATAACTCAATTTTGAGGAAATAACAAAATTTTACTAGTAGCTGTCACTGTATGTTCATAACCTTCAATGAAAGGATTTTAAATTATAACTGACAATAAAGTGTACAAATATGATATACAACTTTATGAAATATCTAGTGACACTATTTAGAAATGAAAGCAGGGTCTTAAAATACGGCAAATATTTTGCCTACAAAATCTATTGATTATATTTATGCTAGGTAGTACTTAACATAACCAATATAAGAGATACGGACTCTTAACTGTCGTTCAAATCCTTTTGTGTGCACAAAATGGAAAGGAGTAAAATAACATACATATCAAGAAGCAATAGGATTAAGAAGAGTGTACACTGACATGTGCAATATTTTAGCCATAAAAATTCAAATGGCTAACACAGGAACACCAAATAAAAATGCATTTATAAAACATTCCTTTTCAATAAAATAGGTGTAACCTTTTGTTTAATCAGATTTGCAATGTTTAAAACTCAATCAAATTTTATTCAAAGAAAATACTAATCCATAAAACTTTTTCAAAGGGTCCAAGAATATTAACATGATGCTGTCTATACATAGTGTACTTATATTGTGACAACTTAATTCTAGCTGTAATATGGCGATAATACCTACAAAACATTGACTTGTCCAAGTACTTTTGTGAAAAATTGTTTACCTAGGTTTTATTGACAATTTTGTGCTATTCTCTAAAAAATGATAATAAATTAATAATACTGATGTGCTTTGTGTAAATTGATTTAAGAAATCCAAGTAATTTAATTAATAGTAGTTGCCTTAAAATGTCACATTCGAGCAAATTCGAGATTTTATTTTGTGAAGAGTATTTTGTAGGCTGTGTCTAAGCTTATGTCACCATAACAGGAGGAAAACTGTTTGTCCTGGGGCTGCATTATACATGTATGTTTTGTGAGCCATTATCTATGGCTACCGGCTGTATAGGTTAGGTAATTTGGTAATTATTTATATCTATTGGAGAAGAAAATCCAAGAGGAACTAGCTGCGCCAAAGAACTACTTCCTTAGTCTATGGAATCTACTACAAAAGATTAAACTAGACAAGGTACTCTAACAAACAATTAAAGGATATCCAATAGATCTGCAAAGGTTGAGGTGCAAGAGGGTACATGGCCCTCAGTCGTAATTAAATCTAATCTATTATATTTATGTATATTTTTTTAGCCATATGTACAGGTTAGATATTTTAGATATTTTTTCATTAAATAATTATAATATAAGCCTAGACACAGCCTATTTCTTTATTCTGTCTACATTTCTTCATTATGTATTATTTTTATATAAATCTAATAATTATATCAATAGATATTTATAACTAAAATAAATTTAAAACTGTAATTTACTTAATAAAAATGTATAGATAATAATGTACTTATAAAAAAATGTTCCTGCATTAGCCACCTGTGCTAAATGGATTAGATAATAGGTAATCATTTATAAATCAACATTCCCATGACTAACCTCTTGTAAAAGATCCTGGGCGGCAATGGCTTTCAATACATTTTTCTTGCTAGTCTCCTGCACCTCACCACCAAGCATTAGCTCATCCAATATAAAATATGCCTTTTCAAAGTTGAAAATTATATCCAGCTCACATACCTTTAAATGAAATAAATTAGATGTATGAATTATAGAATACCTACAAACCTCAATAAATAATTTTGATATATTACTTACACTGCCAAAGTACTTGTCAAGAAGTTCAACATAACGATGAATGATTTCCAAAGTTAACAATTCATTGTCGCACTGTTCAATAGCACAGCAGAAATACAAGCTAGCATACCTAAAAAATATTACCATCTCTAGAATCTTGAGCAATTTGAATAAAAAATAAGGTACCTTTTGTAAACGATTTTTAAGTCTCTCCATTCTAAAAAACTGCACATTTTTGGTTTTCTAGCTAGAATTGTAGTGATTAATTCCCTAGTAATTTTTTTCTTGAGTTTATCTGGATGAGCCACATACCATTTCTGTAACCTTAATTTGCCTTGTCTGCTAAATAGTAACATAAACTGCATCTGGAATAATTTCAAATTAGCCTAAAAATATTTAAAAAATAAATGCTTACCATTTCCCGATTTCTTTTTAGATTGTATACGTGTTAAATATGTATATCTTATTACTAATTTAAAAAATCATTATGGATATCTCCATTACAGCTTTGACTTTGACACATGGAGGAAACTTTGACATTTGATTTATACAAGAAAAAAACGAAACGTCAGCCGTCACGTCAGTTTTAAAATCTTAGACCATAAATAACTAGACTTGCAGCAAACGAATATTGTATTGTTGATAACAACAATTGTCTTCAGTAGTTTTTGGTCAGGTTTTAGATTTTTTTCTTTTGATTTGCAGCATATTGAGTAGTTGATGAAATGAGTTCGAGAAAAAGTTCGAAAATCAAAATTCAACTATTCAACGCTTTTCAATGCACTTGGACATTAGCAAACCGCAGTGGCGGCTCGAAGTTAAAGACCTTGAATGTTCTGCAAGATCCCCACCCCTCCCACCAACATCATTATATTTTACTTTTATTTACCTACGCTTTATATATTAATTCTATTCTGCGGTCCTTTTTCATAAGCAAACTTATACTCATAGGCTTATTTAAAAAATCTCATGTCCCTTTTGAAATTTTAAATTAACTGCCCGTTAACTTTAATTTTTCATGTAGGGTCATTGATGGTTTATTAACTGTAGAATCGTTATGACCTGTTCGAAATTAAGTACCTTTTAACTTTAATTATTCGATGGGCCGTTGACGGCTTTTTAACAGTTTCCCGCATGCAACTGTGAAATATTATTCTGGCTCGTTTGAAATTTGTAATTAACTGCCTTTTACCCTTAATTAATTGATGGGCCGTTGACGGCTATTTAGCTCTGTTTCACACATTCAACTATAACATTGTTATGGCCCTTTTGAAATTCATTTAAATGGTTTTTAACATTAAGTATTCGATGAACCATTTGATGGCTTTTTAACTGTTTGTCACAGATTAAAAGAAAAAGACAAGAATAACATACCCAACAAACAATGAAATTGTCGGAATATTGCTGGCCTTTTGCTGTAATTGAAGGGAAAATTATGTGAGAATTAGAAGATAAAAGCCTACTTTTGGCCTTTCGATAGTGGTCCAGCATTACATTGGTTGATGATGGCCTTATGAAGGGTAAGTAACTCATTATGTAAAAGGCTTTTAACTGCCGCAGACCCAACCCCAACAATCCAGGAAGGCTCCGTCGTCCCGCGTTCATAAATGGAGACACCGATGATCGCTTTTGCTACATACTCAACAAGCGGCCACTCATCTCGCATTGCTGGTATTTACTATTCAGTATTCTTGGTAATTTCTTACTTTTACATGTTGTTAATTTAGAGTATTTTATGAATATAGTTTTTGTAGAAGACACACGTAGTACATCCCCTTTAAAAGCTCGGCATCATTTTGATGGGAAGTTAAAACATAAATATTGTGGGAAACTGTTGGCCATGTGCAGGCCTTTCACTACTTATGCCTGGTAAAGTTATACGGGCTTTAAGCCTTATGCAAGTCCATTGATGAATAGTTAATATGGGAAACTGCTGACCAAGGTCTGCATATGCATGTGCAGATCTTTCACTACTTATTGCTGGTAAAGTGACGACGGCCTTCTGCCGCCCGTTGTGATAAAAAGTTAACTTATCAATTAAATTTTCCCATTATTCGACAATTTCGCAATACTCAGAAGGGAAAAAAGCGCGGCACTTTTGAATCTAGGTATTTTTCAAACACTTTTTGCTAACTTTTTCTTATCCTCTCCTTACAACTGCTGGGTTGGCTACGACGATTACCCCATGTCATTACTTTGCACAACTGTCATCGATTGTATATAGTGTAGAGTAAATAGCCAGTGAAACTTTGTTAGTACACGTTTGCAGAAAGGCTAAAGTATAAATGTATCCTTAATTCTTATCCTGTAGAAGATGAAAATACTTTGTTGCAATCGATCTAGCGGTAAATTGTCCTGTCAGCTAGCAAGAAGGTACCTATACTGTGAGCCTATTTTCAAAAAACGTTTTTCTACTAACTTTTTATGTAAATAACATCATCTGAAAGTTTTAGGTTTGCGCTTCTTATGACAGGCTTTTTAAAACGCCAACTATTTTCATGTTTTACAAAGTAAGAATGAACGATATAAGTACTGTAATAAAATTTTACCTATACCGCGTTTGAGAATCCACATCGGATGCATTTTTTACATCTCGACCGTTTTTTTATCCACATCGGACACATATCTGTCCCATTACATTTACGTATACTGAATTACGTGATCAAAGATTTACTACATCTCAGATGCATCCGATGTGGATTATCGAACGCGGCTTGAGATGTAGTAAATCTATGATCACGTGATTCAGTATACGTAAATCCCAGTATATATACCAATCGTAAATGTAATGGGACAGATGTGGATAAAAAAACGCTCGAGATGTAAAAAATGCATCCGATGTGGATTCTCAAACGCGGCACTAATAACACGCCTAAAAGTGTTACTGGCTCCCCTACCATTACTTTCGAACTCAAAACAGAATGGCTATAAGCTAGCGGGCACTCTGTGGCGGCACCATACAAGACCTGGTGCGTTTTTTGTAGCTTTTTTGTTACGCCAGTCTCACTTTTGTAGATTGTACTGAACCCATGGAAAAAGACTGAACCATGACTGAACCTGAGAAAAGCGCGGATCCGCATAGCTTAGCGGATATTTGTAGCGTCACCAGCTCGGACCCGGCTCATTTTTTGTAACTTTTTTGTTACGCCTGTCTCGATTTCGTTGCGAGGCCTGAACGTGAGTAATAATCGTTCCTCCATGAGCGTGAGAGAAATGGGCGTTCATTTTAAAATAAATTTTCGGCCTCTACAAGTAATAAGTGCAACTCGGTAGTGTTGATAGATGGCACCAGTATTGCATTTCACGAATTATGGCCATCTTCCATGCAATATATTTTTGAGAAATTTAGATATAATCTCAAAATCGGACATTTGTTTTTAAATGTTTTTTATTGTTGTTTATGTATTTATACTTTTGTTGAATCAAGAAAATTCTTACATCTTTTTTGAATGATTTCCTTAACCAATCGTTTGGCAGTATTTATGGACCAGTATTTAATTCTGTCCGATCACAACTACACTCATTGCGTTCGGTCTGCCAAGTTCCTTTAACTCCTTTAACACTTTTAACTCCAAACGACCCTTTTAGCGTTCGGTTTTAGTCCGATTAGTGACAGTTTAACACGCTTAAATGTCATTTAAAAGCACCCTAAAATTTGTCCCGCTCCAGCTCCTGACTATCCGAACTCGCCTACTCATCAAAGTACTCTTGCCGCGTTTGAGAATCCACATCGGATGCATCTGAGATGTTGCGAATTTTTTATCACGTGATAGAGAATTAGATCTGAATGTAGATGTAATAAACAAACGCTCTAGACTTTATTTGGTTACGTGATAAAATGTCAATGACATGTTAGAAGTTTATACTTATTAAATTTGACTTTTGAAACTACAAATCAACCTAAATTTGAAATATAAACAAAAATTAAACAAACTAATCACTTTTATATTCATGCTAGCATAAACAAAGGATAAATTGACAAACAAGGCTTCACAAAACACTTACTTTCTGGCATGGAACGAACATCTCATTCACATCTCATTCCAAATCGAGATGTAAAAAATGTAATCAGGGGACCTATTTTCAAAGTATGTGAGCACTCCTTTCTCTCAAGATTCTCATCAGAAATGTCATACGTCAATGTGGAAACGCTGTATTTAAAGACATCGAGGATTAAAATTCTTAGGAGAATTTTAATTATCTCTAAATAAACCGAGAGAAACAGTCAGTGAGTTCACACTGGCCCTAAGAGCCCTAAAAATACGGTTTTACGTTGACGTATGACATTTCTCTTGATGGAAATGAATTCTCTCGAGTTTGAAAATAGCCCCCCTGAACAGGTACATCTGGGATAAACAAACGCAGATGTAGATGTAGTAGATGTGTCCGATGTGGATAAAAAAACGCTCGAGATGTAAAAAATGCATCCGATGTGGATTCTCAAACGCAGCATAAGTAAGCGATTTTTTTTAATTTTGAAGTTTACGGGTTAATTTCACCATGTTTGACGGGTCCGAAGGGATTGTCTTTTATAGCGTATTATCCCAGTATAAAGAACAATACAGTAGCGACAGATTGCGTCGGCTTCTTTGATGTCGGGGTGGTCAGATTTTCAATGACAGTTGACGTTTTTGTCGCTTATTTCTACACGGAGAAAAGTAAACTCTAAAATTGCAAATTAGCGATGTACACTTAGAAAAAAATTAAAACATGTACATATAACATTTTAATGTATTCTAGGCAAATAAATTAATCAAAATATTGTGTAAATTAAATAAATGAGTTCCAGTGAAAATCTAGATGTGCCAATTTTAAAATTTTATCATTAGATTAAAATAAATTACTTTTGTATGCCATTCATTGTATGAAATGTGTTAAACATTTTTTGGTTTCTTCCTGGAACTAATAAATTAACTCTGCACCATATTTTTTTATTTAAAATGAGGTTATGTAGGTATCTTTTTAGAAGTGAAACAACATATAACAATAATATTTATTAAAACAAACAATTAGTAAGTTTTTAATGAATTTACAATATAAGAATTATTTTATTTCAATTTTTGTTCCTACGTACAAATTTTTGACTTCAGATGAGTTTTAGCAAATGCCTGTTGTAAGTCACCCGTTAAGCACAATGCTGCCCAATTGCTTATATTACCTATGTATATAATTAAATACTATTAACGTCACATCATAAAAATTAGATGTTTATATTTAACGATTTTATGGTTTAAAATTTGTATGGGAAAGGTTATCTGCTGCGGGATTTAAATATTTAATGGCTAGAAGAATCAACAGTGACTGTCTAGAAAAATTTGTTGGGTCCATTAGGCAACAGGGTGGGAATTTAATTAATCCAACACCTGTACAATTCGAAAGGGCATTTAAAAAACTTTTTTGTCAAAATTATCTTCATTGCAATTCCATGAATTGTAATGAAGACCTGGACAAACACTTGCTACAATTAGATGTAAAAAATATTGTCTCTCTGTATCCTGAAATAAATAAAAACACTCGAGAAGCTGTGTTTCTTCCTAAT